CGATCCATTGTTCTTCGAATTATCCGCTCTGAAGAACGATGTACGCCATAAAATAGACGAAGTGCACGTGAAGTATGACGAATAGAACCATTATTTTGATAAATTGATTTTTTTTCAAAAATCCGGCCCGTTATTCTCTGTTTCCGTATACCTAATATACATATTCAAAATTTGAACCGCATCCGTTTAGTCGTTACTTCGGAATGCAAAAAATGTTATTCGTTAAAAGCAGGCCCGGACCCAAATGAAATATCGGTTCCGGTTCTGTTTATATTTAAGCGAAAATATTTATAACGGTTCCGGTTCTAAAAAATAACGGTTCGGTTATGTGCATTTTTTTTGTACAAAACGGTCTAGTCTTTTAGAAAGTATGGCATTCAAAACATTCATTATAACAACGTGATTTGTTAATTAATAGGTGTGAAAAAGAAGTAAAAAGTCATGCATACCAAAACGTGACTTATCGTCAGTGTAGCTCATTTACGACGACAATGGGAACAAAGGAGGAAGAGGTAAATATTTATTTAAACTTAATTTATTAATAAAAACAGAAAAAATACACAAAAACTTATGTAAAAAAATTATGAATGGAGTTGTTGTTTTTTTTTATTTTCCAAAACCTTACCCTTCCTTGTATTATTTAGATTTGCAGTAGTGGATAAATTACCGCCACCGCCACCGGTACTGTCTTCAATTTTCGAGACGTGATTGCCGGCGCGTCCTTCACTGTTAGGAACCGTAAAAAACCGAAAAAATAATAAGGGTTCCGGTTCTCAATAAGTTTCCATTTCTGAAGGAATAACGGTTTCGGTTCGGTTTTCGGTCCTGAAAAAAATACGGGTTCCGGTCCGGGTCCCTGTTTGAAAGTTGATTAAAACGATGTAAAACGTCGACATTTGATGAAATTTTGACATACAGAAAAAACTGTGATCGCAATAGCTACCCTAACTCATGATAGGAAGCTAAAAATAGAAAATACTAATATAACATTAAATTACATTAAATGTCAACATCCACCAATCGGTATGGGACAGTGTATGTATTTACCAGAAAACACATACACACAGAAAACGTACATTGGAACCTGTTGAAATTTATAACGCAATTAAATAATAGCATCAAAGTAGGCAAACATATTTTGTTATTCGTGTACACACCGGTGTTCTGTTTTATTTTATATCCGCAGTAAAATAATGTTATACTGCTTTTTCATGGGTTACGTTTCAATCAATAATAGTAAAGGCCCTTTTATTTTATTTATTTAAGCATTCATTAAGTTATAACTGTCCGAGTTACTCTTTAGATCCGTATAATAGGATCCTCGAATGCTGCATACATATTTATGCTTGGCTATTTGTTTATATCCCTTTATACACGTCGAAACGAAATGTAGGAAAAAGACGATATCTACAGCATCCTTCGGAATTGATTCTAACATTGCGTTGTGAGTTAATGCTAAACACCAACTTCTGTCTGTGTTGTCTGGAGGTTACCGAAAACTTTTTTTTGCAATGTCACAACTCATAATAGTCACCTCAGAGCAGGAATATACACTTGCCCTGAAATATAGTCACCTTTTATAGTATAGGTATAATTGAATCATCATGATAAAGTGGAGTAAGTGTATTTGCTTAAGGCGAGAAGGTAAAAATGCTGTAACTTTTCATCGGCCTCTAATGAATGATCTCGCCAAGAGAAATTGCTTTTCCCTAAGCTTTTCCCGCTCTTTTTTTCCACAATATGTTTGGTATTAGAAATGGGTACATTTCATAAGAGTATGATCTAGAATGGTTAGTATTTAATATCTGCACGGAACTGCACACAGCTAACAACGTGATAAATAAAACAATCGTCGGTGGCTTAGGCAGATTAATTTTTTCTACTGCCATGCAAATTTACAATGTTATCAAGAATTAGTTTTATTGTAACATAATTCATTTCATTTAATTTAGAATCTTAATTGCAACTTTGCGTTTACAAACGCAAGAAAAGTTTTATTCCAATGATAATAAACGTCTATTGCTCTGTGAAGTTCCATCTGATAATATTATTGCAGTGAGTTTCCAAGTAAAACTTTTCTGTACTAAAGTTGCAGAAGAACAAAACTTTCATTTCCAACTTTGACGTTAAGTAGATAAAGGGTAAATTCTTTAATTCAATTTTTTACGTTTGTACAAATTCTTTTTTCTCGTACGATGTTCAGTATGGTTTTCCACTTTATAAAACTTTTAATGTGCAGTTCAGCGTTACCTAATTGCTACTTTCTGATTTTGGCGCTTTTGTAATTAGATTTTTAATACAAAATTTGTAATTAGTTGGTGACTTTTTCTTGCAATATTCGAAACAACATTTATTTAACTGGCACGAATTTATTATTCTCTAATACATTAACGCTTCTTCTCTGTTGAGATTTACAAATTAACAGTAACTTGTTTGAGAAAAACCTTAGGTATTTATGTAAAATATCTCAAAACAGTGAATGCTAAAAAAAGTTTTCAAATCAGTATTATTTATAACCATCCGTAATTAAAATATATTTTGAGAAGTATTTATAAGCTTCCATAACATTAATTACATTTTAATGCTATCCTTCTAAAATTTGTAAGTCAGAAAATTATGCAATTTCTTTTCGCTTGGCGTATAGCAAGTTACTTCTGAAGTTTTGAGCAAAAGTAAAAGAGTCATTTCTGCAATGAACTTATTAAACAGAATTTCAGAACTAACATGTAAATCTTAAATTGAAGTCTAACAAACTTTTGTGTAACTTGTTTATATGCTTATGGAGCTAACTGATTTTAACGAGGACTAACCGTAGTGAGAAGCACCGACTGTTAAATTGGAAATGGGAATATTATACTATAGATTAAGCAGTATTTCGGTATTGGCTTTAAATAGAAGTCCCATAAAAACAAACTAAAGTTCACACGTTAAAAAGGTGGTGAGGCTGATACGATTATAGTACTTTTCGTAATGAAAATTTTAGTACGTCAACGGAGTAAAAGTTTTTTTTTTGCTGGCTAGAATATATTATCTTGCCCATCCATCAAAGTCTAACACACATTCTGCTTTGTAAAGTACGTGACAACAGTCTAAAAGCAAACGCCGCCGTACGGAAAAGTGTTTTATAAAGATCCAATAGATATTGCACTTGTTGCACATCCTAAACGAAAAGCCAATGATAAATGCCGACAGTTGGAAAACATACAGTTTACCTGTACAATTATCTATAATTTGTAAATACTGTTAGTCACGTCATCACGTGAGCCATTATTTAGTAAAACTAACGAATACCCACAACGCCCACGCGATATTTTGATAGTCCATATCACCGACTAAGGAAACTACGCCGACGGACACAACGCCGACAGTGCCCACTTCGCCGACGGATACTACGCCGTCCGTGCCCACATCGCCAACACGTGTGCAAGGGGCACTAGCCGAACGTGACCACAACGCCGACTGTTCGAAAAACCAGGCCCCTCATACTCTGTCCAGTGTGAGTTTGCATTTTAAAAAGTTTAAAAAAAGTCCTAAACCTACAAATAACCTAATATCCAAAGCTGCTTTGATTCACGCTCTGTCCAGTTTCATTAAGAATTTTCGTATGAGTCTGTATATTCTAAACCTACAATAACCTAACGTCAAAAGCTGCGTGGTGTTGCACACCGTCCGAACTGTTGTATGAGTCGACGTTGTGGTCACGAAAGGCTTAGTCTCCCTTGTTCACTTGTCGGCGATGTGGGCACGGTCGGCGTAGTGTCCCTAGTCGGCGATATGGACCATCAAAAAATCGTGTCGGCGTTGTGGGCATTCGGCGAAGTGTCCCGGCCCCTAAACTAACTTACAATGTTTGTAACCAAATAGGTACAGCCATAAGCTACATTCATATATGCTGCGATATCCATATCTGTACACGAATGTTGAATTTTGCATCCGCATGTAATTTCCTTGTCACAAATGTAAATCCATACAAAATATAATGAAATACAACAGTAAAACTCCCACTCTCAGGATAAATGAACATACAGTGCGTTTATCTTACATTGGAACATTCGATTTTGCATGCAATGGTGTTTCCCTATGTTGTATTTAAAAAAAAACGCATCACGGATAATGTGCGAGTCACAACTGAACCAGACTTTACTTATTTTTATGTTATGTACGTTGAAATCTGTTGAAATAGAAGGTATTGCTTCATCAGGATACTACACTGCAAGTAAATCGCGGGCTTGCCTTGCACTGTTGTGACCTTTGTATAAATTTATAATTTCATCTTTTCATCACTTTAGCAGCATTTTTGACATTTATCTGCAAGGCGGTAGATTTGAAGGTGAAAGTTGTATATTGCACCTACTACCCATTTGAACTACTCCTATTAGGTTGACGTGTTTTTTCAGATGGGACATGGAGAAAAAGCATTGCATGCAAAATCGTTTAAGATAAACGCACTGTATACATCGGGCTATGATAACATGAGGATCAAGTTTGCAACACCAGCCGAAGATTCCACGAAATCCACAGATTTAGGTACCTACGTTGGAACTGTTGGGTCCATACAATGATATTTGTGGCATATTTTTTAGAAATATCGTATATCGTAATTCTTTATTAACGGCCAAGCCAATATTATAACATACTTCTAGCCAAAAACCAGTTTATTAAATCAACAGTGAATTCCCAGTACTTTTGAAGGCGACTAGTAGCAGTCCGAAGAATTCGATATTCAAATGTAAGCTGTTGATCTCGTCAACCATGCGGTTTAAAGGGCTATTTCGGAAGTATACCGTTCGACATTGTCGTGCATGTAGAAGTTGAGCCGAGCGAACAAATCGTTGCGGTACATTTAAATTAATAATGGATAAAATATCCGGACAGTTCAGGTGACCATTAAGTAGTTTGTGTTACGTACAATAGATGGCAACACTGCAGACCATCGGCTACATTCATTCGAGAGATCGGCGTTATGTACAATTGACGTTACGTTATGCTGTATACGTAGTACAATAAAAATTAGAAAATCTACAGTCCACTTATTATACATAAAAATGGTCCAGTCGATCCGGATGGTATAAATCAGGATTAATTAGAATTCGATGGATGAAGTGTATTTTCATCTTGGCCGACTACACTGCTATCACCTGCTATCACCTACAACGTGCAGTGCAGCACATATGCACATCGAAATAGAACTGTATGTACCTACCTACCGTTTAGACTAAACTTTAAAATTGCAATTAATTATGCAAATAGCATAAAGTATTTTGCTAATTTGTTAATTTAGTTAATAGAAGTGGCGGCTATATCCGCTAACCTTCAAAGTTGGTGTTAACCATCTGTCATTTTAAACTTGGTTCCTCATAATTGTGTTGTGAACTTATTCGAATCATTAATGAATATCAATAATTATTCATTATCATAGAATCGACCGCATGCAACAATTTGCTAGCGTTCACATTGAATATGTTGTAGAATCTATAATTTTACAAAAAAGTTACGTTAATCAATCGATGCAATGGCTGAGTTGAAGAGGTTCAAGGCGAAACGGGCTTACTGCAAGGCGAGTGTTACACGCATTTCAAATTTTCTTAATCTGCACAAAGACGCTACTCTCACCGACACATTAATAAACGAGTTGGAGGTACGCAAGGGAATGTTATCGAACTGCTTTAAGGAGTATAATAATTGCCAAGTCGAAATTTCATTTTTGGAGGAAGGGGAACCGGAGATTGTTGACGACTTCGAAAATAAGTACATCAAATTGATGGCTGAAATCGACACAAAAATAAAGGCGTTCCATTGTCGTCTAGCACCAATTGACAGTTCGCACAGTGCTTCTCAACCATTGGCATCAAACCATGTTACAGTACCGGACATCCTAAAACCCAACACCAAACTTCCATCAGTTCAAATTCCGTGCTTTGATGGAAAGGAACTAAGCAAGTATAAACCCTTTAATGATTTGTTTGTGGCCGTGATTGGTAATAACAGTACCTTAACTGATGTTGAAAAACTGTTTTATTTACGTAGTTATTTAAAAGGTGAAGCCTTGTCCTTAATTGTTAATTTACCTATTGTTCATGAATCATATAAGGAAGCTATATCCATTTTAGATAGTAGATACAAAAATGAGTTTATCATTACCAGTTCTCACATTTATGCTATGTTAGATGTACCTGACATAATCAAAGGGACTGCGAGTAACATTCGTGAATTTGTTGCCAAGATTAAGCAAGAAGTAAGCGCATTAAAAAACTTAGGTCAACCAGTTCACGAGTGGAATATGTTATTGCTTTGTTTATTGTCCAGAAAACTCGATACATATACTAATAGAGCCTTTCAATTTGACAGGAACAATGCCAATGCATTGCCCACACTTGAGGAATTACTGCAGTTCTTGGAGAGTAGAGCTACAGCTTTAGAATCTGTTGGTTTTCCAGAAAAAAAAATTGAGCAAATCGCTGATGTGCAATCTTGCAGTAAAACCAAAGGCAAAAAAGGGGAAAGGAATGGAATGTAATTATTGCATGGAATTGGGACACAAGGTATATAGGTGCAACAAGTTTAAAGGAATTTCTGTTATAGATCGTATCAATTTTATTGAAACCAAGGGTTTTTGTAAACTCTGTCTGAATGACCATATTGATAAATGTAATCTTAATTTAAAATGTCATGTATGTAAAGAAGGTCATAACTCTTTACTGCATCAAATAGAAGAGAGTAGTGTGGTTTCTGTTGGTCAGAATCATGTAGAAAATGTTATCCTACCTATTATTAAAGTCAAAATTAAATCAAGGAATGGCCAGGAGACTGTTGTTAGGGCACTTGTCGATACAGGATCTCAAACTTCCTTCTGTACTACCAATTTAATTAATAAATTGAAATTGAACACCTTTAATAGTGGTAAAACTATTCTCGGCATTACCAATACAATGTCGAAGGTTTCTAAGGCTGTTCACTTATTGATTGAATCATGTACAACTAATTACAAATTAAGTATCAAATGCTCAGTGGTGGAGAGGATCACAAAAAATCTGCCACAAGTTCCTATTGACATATCACAGCTTATCATGCCGAACAACATAATTCTGTCTGATAATGAGTTCAATGTGCCAAAGCCTATTGATTTATTGTTGAGTGCTGACATCTTTTTCAAAATTTTACGACAAGATCGTCTCCAGATTGGTAACTTGGTGTTGCAAGATACAGTATTTGGTTACATGGTCAGTGGTACTGTGCAACAAAATATTTGTAATTTATCCTTAGAATATTGTCATTTTAATTTAGAAGAGTTGGTATCCAAATTTTGGGACACTGAAAAGGTCTCTGAAATTTATCCTGAATTCACAACTGAACAAGAAGCATGCGAATCATGCTTTCAAAAGTCTGTTGTGAGAGTGGGTAATAGGTTTCAAGTGTCTTTACCATTGAAACAAGAATTAAATCCCGATACATTGGGAAATTCATATAAGATTGCCTTGAAACGATTTATAAATTTAGAAAAAAGGTTTTCCATTAATCCTACCTTATTTGAAAGTTATTCAAGGTTTATCAATGAATATATTGAGCTTGGTCACGCAAAAATGGTTGAACTTCAAAATGATGAAAAAATTGCTCATTTTCTAGCTCATCACCCAGTTATAAGGGATGATAAGAAAACTACCAAATTAAGAGTAGTTTTTGATGGAAGCATGAAAACAAATAAGCAGGTATCATTGAATGATTTTATGTACAACGGAGCGGTAGTTCAAAATGAGCTATTTGATATTTTGTTATTATTTCGGACATTCAAATTTGTGATTCTAAGTGACATAAAGCAGATGTACAGACAAATATTAATTTCTCCCGAGCACAAACCTCTTCAAAATATTTTATGGAGAAGCGATCCTAAATCATCAATTACATGTCTACAGCTACAAACAGTTACATACGGGCTAAAAAGTTCGCCCTTTCTTGCAACTCGTTGCCTAGTGGAGTTGTGTAACCTGGAGGGTAAAAAGTTCCCTTTGGCGGCCAGGGCAGTGTTACATAACACGTATGTAGATGATATTTTAGCTGGTGGCGACACTGTTGAAGAAGTCATACAATTACGAGATGAACTCATACAATTATTAAGTAACGGATCATTTGAATTACATAAATGGTGTTCTAATAACCCTTCTATTTTAAATGGTATCCCAATTGAATTACAACATTTTGATGAACGTGAGATGAATCATGATTTGATAGTAAAAACATTAGGGTTGTCATTTGATGTTAAATTAGACATGTTTAAAATATCAAGTCCCAAGGAAAGCATCACTAAGGCTAACACTAAACGTAAAATTTTGAGCTTTTTATGTAAATTTTATGATCCTCTAGGATTGGTAGGCCCACTTTTTGTATCTGCAAAAATTATAATGCAAAGGTTGTGGTTAAAGAAAATAGACTGGGATGACATTTTAAGTGATGAGTTACTTGAAACATGGGAGGAGTTCGTAGAGAATCTAAGAAAAATGGAACCAATTAATATTCCAAGATACTTGCAATTGAATTCCCATGCTACTAGTGAGCTTGTAGGTTTTTGCGACGCTTCCATGTTTGCATACGGTGCAGTTGTGTATATAAGAACTGTAAATGAAACTGTTACGTCAACTTTATTGTGTTCTAAATCGCGCATAGCTCCGTTGAATAAAAAACTAACAATACCCAGGTTAGAGTTAAACAGTGCGCTGTTATTAGCAAATGTAATTCATAAAGTATATAGTGTATTAAAGAAAAGGATAAACAAGGTGTATTTGTACTCTGACTCTAACATAGTATTAGCTTGGATAAAAACAAACTCTGTTAAATTAAATCCATATGTGGCAAACAGAATAATAAAGATTCAAGGCTTAACGAAAGGTATGCAATGGTCGTATATTAATACAAAGGACAATCCAGCGGATTGTTTGTCTAGAGGTATTAATCCAAATGAAATTTCAAAAAACAAAATCTGGTGGTATGGGCCGAGTTATTTCTTAAATGTCAACTATAAGCATCCGCTGTCTGAGGTAAAACTGGCAGAGCCATTGCCAGAGCAGAAAATAGCCTGCACTCAAATTATTTTGGAATCTAGTACATTATTTGCCAAATATTCTTCAATAAGTAAGTTAGAAAGAATCATAGCCTGGATATTAAGGTTTAAGCATAATGCAAGTAGGCCAAAGTATAAATTAGTTGGTAATTTAAAGCCGTTTGAAGTTTATAATGCCTTAGAAAAAATCTTGATCGTTGAACAGCAATTTCACTTTCACGAAGAATTCAAACTAATTCAAAATGGTCAGCAAGTAAAGACGCAATTAGCATCATTGCATCCTTTTATAGACAGGAGAGGAATTCTTCGTGTAGGTGGCAGGTTGCAGAATGCGCAGATTGAGTATGACCAAAAGCACCCTATAATACTTCCAAAAAAAAGCATCATAACTGATTTAATTATTATAAGAGAGCATAAAAAATTGCTACATGCAGGTCAAAAACAGATTTTAAGTAGCTTAAATTTAAAATATTGGTTAATTAATGGAAATAGGGAGATAAAAAAGATTATTCATAAGTGTGTAATATGTTTCCGATTAAAAGCTCAATGTGCACAACAATTAATGGGATCTTTACCTGAACCAAGAGTAACTTACAATAGACCATTTCATAATGTAGGTGTTGATTTTTGTGGTCCATTTCAATTAAAACAATCTACTATTCGAAGGTCTGTAATCACAAAATCATACATTGCATTGTTTGTGTGTTTCTCTATAAAGGCGATTCACATGGAACTATTGTCTGATTTAACTGCTGATAATTTTCTATCGGTTCTTAAAAGATTTATATCACGTCGAGGCAAACCAGCAAAAATCTATTGTGATAATGGTGGCACATTCAAGGGTGCTAATAGAAAGCTGAGTGAATTGCGAAATATGTGTAAAAAAGAAAGTGCGAACAAGGTAGAGAATTATAGCCTAGACGAAGGTATAGAATTCATTTTTACCCCAGCTTATTCGCCCGTATTTGGCGGCCTTTGGGAGGCGGGAGTTAAAAGTGCAAAGGCACATCTAAAAAGAGTTGTAGGGAATAACGTTTTAACATATGAACAGTTTAATACTATAATCATTCAAATAGAAGGCATCTTGAATTCGAGACCTCTCACACCAATGAGCAACGATTGTACTAGCTTGGAATATTTATCTCCTGGTCATTTTTTGATAGGAAGCACGTTTACTAGTTTTCCGGAATCTGATTGTACATCGATTCCGCAAAACAGGTTGAAAATGTGGCGTTTGTGCACGCAAATACAACAACAGTTCTGGAAAAAATGGCATGTAGATTATCTAGTACAGTTGCAAGCACGACCAAAGTGGAAGGCACCTACTCCTAATCTACAAGTAGGCATGCTGGTTCTAATTAAAGATTTAAATTTACCTCCTTTAAAATGGCCATTGGGTAGAATTACACGAACTTTACCTGGAAATGATAACAAGGTACGAGTAGTTGAAGTAAAAACTCACAAAGGCACCTATATTCGTTCTGTCACAAAACTTGCTATCCTTCCAATTGATTTGTAATATAATAAATTGACATTCAAGATCTACACTAATATAAGTAACACATTTTAGACAAGGAAATAATCAAGTAGCTCTGCTATCCTAAACTGTCAAGTGAAATTCCGTATACTTTGTTGACGACGTATCTTTACATTTTTGATTATGTAAATTCCAATAATTAATTTAATGTATTGATAAGCAAAAATAAGTAATTTTAAGATGGACGTTGTAAATTTAATTTATGTTGCCTTGTAACTCCGTTTGTGACTAATTGTTGTATCCTTTGTGTTAATTATTTGTATTGTTTTATGGATATAAAACAAAAAGGGGGAGTATGTTACGTACAATAGATGGCAACACTGCAGACCATCGGCTACATTCATTCGAGAGATCGGCGTTATGTACAATTGACGTTACGTTATGCTGTTATACGTAGTACAATAAAAATTAGAAAATCTACAGTCCACTTATTATACAGTTTGAACATGCGGTAAGTAAACTTCTCCTCTGTTTAATACCCTAGCCACACACTCCTCAAGTAGCATGGGAAGTAGCGTGACGAGGAGGCAGACACGTAGTGTGGCAACATCACTCGCATTGCTACACGTCATGCTCCTCGTTCTGCCAACCGCTCCATGTTTTGGGCGCGAGTCAAAGGATCGGCAGTACGAGCGCGAGTGCCCGGCCACATAATCGCGCGAAGGGCTGGTAGAAGTGCGTCATTCTTATTTTTTTATTGACGAGTAGATGTCATCCAACACCTCCGTTAGCGAAGACGACGAGAGCGTATCTCTTTTTAGGAAAATGATGTAATTAGCTATTATACTAAAAATGCATAACCAACAGTTTCGACATCCATCGTGTTGCAAAGGCGAATGCCAAATGCGGAGTGAGGCGATTAATTGCACGAGTAAAGCAGTGTGTGGACAAAGAGCGCAACATTGCGGCAGCGCGTAGAGCAGGGCGATGGGCAGTGCGAGGAGCATAGTGTGGCTGAGGCAGGGTCAGTATTCCCAAGTAAAGTCGGACATTTTCAGTGCGATCCAAAATGTCTCCATTCAGAAGTACTTTATAAGGCGAAGAAAATTGTTCTGTATTTTTTCTAACCGATTAATATAAGTTGAATAGTATGGTGACCAGATCGTGCAGCAATAGTCCACACGCGACCTAAGTAGAGGTACCTATAAAGTCTTCAGTGCCGTTATTTTGAGGAAATCCTTGCTAGCCTTCGAGATAGCACGATCGTAGTGATTCTAGTGATAACCGTGCATCTCTCTTTTTATATGTAAAACTTGAAAAAGTAATGATTTTCAAACATGAACTAGGATAATGCTATATGTAAGTAAATTTCTTTGTTTTGCTGGCTTTCTTACTTGCTTTTTCTTCTTCTTTGTAAAAATTTGAAATGTGTAATTTGTCATTTTTTAAGAATAGCTTAGGTTGTTTGCAATGCAGCATCTTTCACTCATCACCTTACTTACATATGACACGGTTTGGTTTTGCTTTGTACGCACTTATTTCACAGAAGGCTACAACTATGAGACAAAGTCCAAAACTCAAAGCCATGACGTTGGTCCAGAATCCAAGGCCATGGCATTGGACCAAAGTTCAAGGCCGCACCTTTGGGAAACCCAGAGCAATGACCTTGGGAAAAACCGAGCCGATGGGCATGAAAAAATTCACAATTTCGCAATCCTTACAACCATCGGAGACATTGGAAATGATAACCGTATAACCTATAAAGTCATAAATAACCCTTCACACGGAACAATCTTGTTCCACTCGCTCGTAAGCTCGCTCGTGTCGCAAACGGAAACTGAATACTAAGCGGCGTAACATGCTTGTAATACTATCACGGGCGATGTGCGAGAATTTTCAATTCGAATTAACAAAACCCCTGCGGACTGTTAAATAAGTAGTACCGTATCGACAGTATCCGCGACTTTTCCTGAATCTATCGATTGCAGTCGAGTACGGTACAAATCAACACTAGACGCGACACCACTGTCTTTTTTTCTACTCGGCAAACCTGGTAAATTCATACCCATACAAACCATAAGCATTTCCAATGCTAAAATCTTAGGCTCTTGATCTTGGAAAATCACGGGAACAATGACCTTTAGAAACCCCAGTTATGACCTTGGGAAATCCCGGGGCATGACTTTGTGACGTAACATGACCTTCCGAATGCACCACACGGGGGGGAGGGGGCAAGGTGCTCCACCCTGAGGGAGCGGAGGGAGTAAGCTTTCACTTTTACTCATAGCCCATTCGTATTTAACCCAAACGCAAAGCCAAACTAACACTTACACAATAAACAACACTAATTAAGTAAATTGGTAAGCTTGTAAGTAATCTTTAAGAATGAAAATAGACCATAAATTTGCCAGGACGAAGACGTACAGGCAGATACTAATCGTTACTTTGATTTTAATCCGTGCGATTAGTTAACCAGACTAGGCCAGAGTTCTAACAAGAAACTGTAATAATTTCAACGGAACGTAAGCAGAATTTGAAAATTTTGCTTTAATATCAGTCCGGAAACAGAAATTACCCTTTATTCCCTCAAATGGAACATGGACCGTGTTGCGTTTAACGGAGTACAAAAAATGTGTTTATAAAATCTTTTTTATACAAACGAATCTATATTCACAGGGGAGTTTGTCTCACCAACTCAGTTGGTTCGATTACGTAATAAGTATGGTTTAACTACACAAAGATGAAAACATAATACTTACACGATTTTCAATGTCACGTGTTGTTCACCCCTCCGTCGCGTGTATTTGGTTGGTAACGCATTACCTACCTAAAGAGAAATGTTTCCGGTGTGTCCATTAGTTGTACGTCCATGACGTGCATCACACAAGCGGCCATATAAATGTAACCGCAATGCAAATCCAAACGGGAATCGTTGAGCGGTTGCTGATTGTAAAAATATTGTTAACTGTAATGAAATTTACCGCCATCCCTGTACCCAATTCGGTCGTTTGCATTGTGACTATGCTGCATCCCTGTATGCCCAGGGTATGATGTGTTAACTAGGTGACAGCTGTAGTGTATTTATTGTGACCTGTCTTGTTCATTTATCATCTTGAGTAATTATTGTTCCGTTGTTGCTTGTACTTGCAATAATCGATTTGCGTTTTTGCCACTTATCACCAATAAATGAGTAACAAAGTTATGCGAACACAATGTGCGGTAATGTGCTGAGGGATCGCCAAAACCTAAATCTTGTAGTTCCCAGATTATCAAACCCATTTGAAAACAAATAAGCTTAAATAGAATTTCCCTCATAGTTAAGGCTGGCCATAAACTGCGGTTGTTACAGTTTACCGTTAAACATAATATATAGTTACCGCAATGTACAAAACACACACCGACGAATGGGCATTCTCTAAAGAAATACTCGCTTCAACACCGTTTAGTGTAATATCTGAACAATTGCCATACACGCTCAGAACAAGAAATTACATTAATTGGTTTGCAGTAACAGTAACTCAATGGTTGCGTTACTAAGTGAATATCGGTACGTGGTGGTGGCACTTGAATTCAATCAATTGAAGCTGTGCTTTACTAGTTAAATATGATGTAATTAATAACATTAGGGGGAATGAATGCTAGTGGAACTGCTTCAAGGTTTGGCTTTGAGGTTCCAGACAAAAATAAACAAGTTAAAAAGTAATCGTAAACGATTTACAAAAAGCGCATTTCCACTTGCATTCATTTCCCATTTGTACGACACAACTTCTGTTAAAATCGTAAAAATCCGGCCACAAATATGAAAGATAGCGTTGCACATGTGCAATCCATTTTTAACGTGCTACTTCAATTTCTGTTTATAAGAAGAATTTCATTTTAATGCTTTTCTAAATAAGAAAGTTGGAACTGCGCATGCGTAAATCTAAATTTTGAAACTGTTAGATTTTCCGTTGTTCCAAGCGCCTATGTATCAAATTTCGTTTAAATTCTTCCATAAAAAGTACAACAGATTGAGAGACTTAAAAAATTTGTTTCTAGAAGGAGTTTGTGTTGATACATTTTTATTTTATTTCTTATTATCTATTGAGGGAAGTGTTTAGTTTATTTAGTACGCAAACATCCATCCCGCAACAGGTATTATGGGTATTTGGTAGATGTATAGGTAAACCATTAATGGAGTAAACAAGATTTTCCTCATGTGGGATGACAGAGTTATAGGATTCTTTTACAATAGTTCTTTTCTTTTGCCAACGGAGGTCGTGTAGAATTTTTATCATTTTTTTTTACTTTGGTCTTGCCGATAAGCGGTACTTGTCAGTGAAGGTTCTGTCGTCATATTGGTCACATGCAAATTATTTTCCTTGGTACGCCATTACTTTTCTACTGATCTGTACAATCTGTTTAGTGATTTCTATTCTTCTCGATGTCTGTGGCTGTACTCCATTGAAGCGGTGTATGCGGATTTGTATTTGCATTTCATCAGTACGAGGTACTAAATTTTAACTAAACGAAATGTAAATCAGGTAGCATGAACAAATTCTTCGCGGCAAAACAAATAACGTAACTAAATATTGTAGATATCCGTTTCGGACAAAGTCTCAGTAACTTCAAAAACTAATTTACAAAGCAACATAAGCTAATGTCGGTAAACAAACTAAATAGAAAGGATATGAAAAATGAAACGTAATTAAACTAGTACGCATGCATTTTCGGAGTAATCGTAGGCAATATAGATCAAATCGGGTCTCGAAAAAAATATTCTTGGGCAACGACAGAAGCAGTCGGAAATGCAGAAAATTCATCTGTAGCGTGACGTTCACCAATTAGTACAGGCTAAATAGCTCTAAAAGAATATATTCGAAAAAAAAAATTAGTTATGAGCCAAAGCGGGTTTTTCATGCAGGTGAAATGATTAGAAATTGGGGAAAAAATAATTAAAACAGCTGAATTTTTCCGCGGGTGAAATCCCGGGGGTTGCCAGGAGTGGAAAGTGGAGTTTTTGCAAATTGTGGCAAAACTATTAATTTTAGACGAAAATGTTCAATATAAAAGTTATAGAGATTGAAAAAATGAGCAACTTTTTTGTATCTGCAGTATTTTCATATAACCTCCAATTTTCCTAGAAAAACTAGAAAAACTGTTTTTTTCGTATTTTATTCTTATTTTTGTGAAAAAAAGTCGTAGGGATTTGAAATTTGGAAGAAACTTGATCAAGGGGATGAAAGATCTATTTTTTTTTCATCGTACACAGTTGCTCTAGGTAGAAAAAGTTTTGTAAGGACTTATGTTTAATAATCAAAAATAAAAAATATTATTCCAATAGAAAAATTTCAAGAAAAGCGGCAAAAACTAGGGGAACAGTTTTAAGAAATACATGGTTTTTAACATTGACAAAAAGAGCATTTTTTGC